ATCCTAACTTCTCCATGCTAGACAGCTTTCTATAATTCACATGTCCTAGCCTATTGTGCCATAATACAGAGGAGTAAGCAGAAAAGGATATTTTATTTACAACTGAGTTGGGTACAATAGTACTAATCTTATACATGCCATCAGTACGATATGTGTTGCTAAAATATATTTTCTTAAAAGATAACACATCATTTCCTCCTTGGAAATTCAGCCTCATACCAGCGTCACATAGTAGGCTTCCAGAGACTAAGTTTTTGGCAATTGAGAGAACATGTTTTACATCCTTCAATATGAGAGTCTTCCCTGAAGAAAGAGTCAGCACTACAGTCCCAGTTTCAAGAACAGAACGATCAGCCATTGATACGTTCTCTTTGGCAGCAACATAGGAAGAGAACAAATCTCTGTTGGAGCAAATATGACAGGTAGCACCTGTATCTAACCACCAACCAGAGACTTTGCTGGGAGTTGTCACCTGAAAGAGCATAGCCATACAATTGTCAAGTTAATTAACATTGTGTATTGTTCCCTTCTTTGGTGCTTTGCAGTCTTTAGCAAATTATCGTTGCTTCCCACAATTGAAGCATTTGCCGCTTTTCTTGAAATCTTTCTTCTAAACATTCAGGTTCTTCAGATTATGATTCTTCTTTTTGTTAAAAGACTTCTTTTTCTTAGAAGAATTGATATCCTTCTTAGAGTTAGTAGCCACCATGTTAGCAGACGCCTTCTGCTTAGCTAGAAGCTCATTCTTTGTGCGAGTCCAAATCTCGTCCTTGATCCGAATGAACCTCTTCAAATCAAATAAAGTCACTTGTCTTTTCCTTCTTCGGATGTCCGTGGAGAACGACATCCAAGATAGAGGAAGCTTGTTGATAATTGCACCAGAAATGAAGGTTTGACAAAGACTGATCTTTTCATCCTTCAGCTTCATAACAAGCTTTTCAAGCTCTTTGACTTGAGGCAAAACCTCAGTGTCATCTTCAAACTTAAAGTCTAGAAATAACAAGCTTTTCAAGCTCTTTGACTTGAGGCAAAACCTCAGTGTCATCTTCAAACTTAAAGTCTAGAAATTTGTCAATGATGTGAGACTTGAAAAGCTTCTCCTCATCCTTGTATTGCTCCTCCAGAGCATTCTAGATTTTCTTTACAGATAGCTTGTTGGTGTAAGCATATGCCAGATGATCAGCCAGACAGTTAAGGCCAGACAGTTAAGAGATAACTCCTGCAAAAATAATTATCTTTATCCCAAGAGGCTTCAGACTCTGAGTCTTCTTCAAAGTCCGGTTTCTCCTCAGAAACCACATAGTAGATTTTTTTGGAGTTGCATCCTAAAAATTACTTTTCGACGCTATGCGTTAAAGTTAGATCCATCAAAGTTTTCTAACTTGAGACAGTCCACTCCAAGAGTTCTCGCAGGATCCATTAGTAGATCTGAAATATTGCTTTAAGAATATTAGAAATTGAGGTTAAATCTGGAATTAAACAGTGAAGGATGACGTGCTGTTATTTTAAACTTTTTAATTAACTGTTGTGCGTTTGTGAAATGCTGTACTTAAAGCAATATTTAGCCTACTCCGATGCAAGGATCCCAAGGTCAAACTGTTTTTAGGAACAATAGTATAATACTCTGGTGTGCACCAACCCAGTAGTGTTAAGATTTCCTCGATCTATAAGACCTTTTGGTCAAGGGAAAAGATCTCCTCGATCTCAGAACCTTATGGTTCAAAACCTTTCGGTTTCAAGGTTCCTGCGGGCATAGTTTCTGCAACAACAGCACAACAACAACGTCAATATGACGTTTGTATTCCAAGCTCGCATGGGTATTCCGACGTTCGTATTCTATACTGACGTTCGTATTCTATACTGACGTTCGTATTCAACGCTCACGAGAGATTTTTTTAGCTTAAACCAAAAGCTGCCCAATGGCGCTATTTATAGGCCTCTAATGTTAGACCTTAGAGGGGGGTGATTAGAGTCTTATGCTAATCTAATCTGATTTTATGCCAATTAAAACTAATACAAATATATTCTTGTAAGATAGATATATAATAGTTATAAGCAAGAATAAGCAATATGAATAAAGAGATATATCCTAGCAAAGAGGTAATATATGCAAGGATATATAAACTAACACAAGGGTAAAATAAACATAAACAAGATAAGAGTGATAGTGTAAATAAATAATGCAAACACACAATATGATCACGGAGTTCGGACATTCCGTCCTACATCTCCGCTCCCCACTCCCGGGGAGAAATCCACTATCACAATCAGGTTTGAAAGCCGAATTTTCTACAACTCGGTTTTCTAACTAACCAAAAACTCTATAACTCACACTCTTGCAAACCCACTCTACACCCTCACAAGTGTTGGACCTAGCTGTGTCTCCCTCAAGTGCTTGGTTACAACATCTCCCTAGGTTCATCAACCGACGTCACTCCTCTTAGGATGATCCCCGACTTTCACCGCACACTCCTCTCGGTGTACAAGTGTATTATAAAGTGTATCTCACAATAAGTACAAATATAACAAATGATTGTTCTCTAATATGGATGAGAACACAATAAAAGCTCACACTCAATTATTATAACTCTCACCAACCCAAATATACTATGTATGAAAATACAATAAGCTTATGTGGGTGTGTGTAAACAATGAGTGAAATAAAATCTAACTAAACTAGCAAACTAGCAATAATAAGAATATGAAAATCAATAATAAAATTGCTAGAGAAAGGAGTTAGAAAAGTTCTCTATAAACACAAAGAGGGTATGAGAAGATATTGAAGATGAACTCCTCAATAGATGATGCAAGCTCATCTTTGTAAAAGCAAACCCCAAAAACAAACTAAACAAACTGTAAAACCCTCTTAAACTTGTTTAAAACTTTCTCCTTGGTTGTTGATAGAAGAGGGGTTGAGGGGTTTATATAGGAAGAGAAACCAACAGCCAAAAACCCAAACAAAATAACAAAAATCCTAGAAAATCAGGAATACGAATTTGTACCAAAAATAGTTGTTGGGCTATCGGCGGTCGACCGTGGAAAACTCACGATCGACCGCGAGCCAGCTTTGAAACTCAGAAAACTTCCAGAGACTTACGCAGTCGACCATGACGGTCGACCGTGGGAATTTTCAAGCTGACGGTCGACCGTAGCGGTCGACCGCAAAAGTTTCTGCTGCATCCTGAGGGAAAAATAAGGGCGCGGTCGACCGTGACGGTCAACCGTGAACTGATATATAAAATTTTCAGGTTTGAAAACAGTTTGCTGATTTTAAAACACTGTTTAAAAATATCAAATAAATTCAGAAAAATATAAAACTTTGTGGAATGATTGTAGACATGATAATAAACATGCTACAAAGACTGGTTTGTAAAAAGGACTTACCAAATGTAAAATATCATCATTTTGTAAGGAGGTCAAAAACATAGAAATGTAAACATATGAATTTTGATATTTTGCCTAAACCATATTTTAAAACTTTACAAAATAATTTTATAGACTTGAAGAAAGATGTAAACTATTCTTATGAAGTCTATAAACAATAAATATAGTATTTTATCAAAATACACATATAATGCACTAAAATATGATTTCATTGAACTAAATAAAATTGATATTGATGAAATCATATATATGCATATAAGTATGAAACTAAAATATATTTTCTAATTATATTTAATTGTTTCATAGTAAAACTTGAAAACTATCAAACCAAAACATATATGTATATATATAACTATATATATACATTGAAACCAATAAATGTGTGTGTGTATATTATATTGAGCTTAAGGTATTAACACACATAATATAGACTCCTAAACTAAATTACCCAAGCTTGATGAAGGTCTTCAATGAGCTCAACTTAGTACACTTACGGATGAAGCTTGAACTTTGATCTTCAACTTGAATTGTACATAGCTTACCTACTATTCCGCCAACCTCCATTGGATATTATCATTAAAGTGCAATCCATCTAACCTCCAATACGTTGTTTGCCTAGAATAAATACTAAAACGCAAATACTAGACAAACAACATTAGAAGTAAATTGTTTGTTAAACATCATCAAAACAAGAAGCCCAACATCTAAGGCCAGCTCAAGAGTCATTAACAATTAATGTGACTGTTATAATTCTCAATGGTAATTAAGATTGTAACATCAATGCATTAAATTACTTTAATTGTTGTTGTAACTGCTGCATGCATTAACTCTAGAATACGAGGCAATCAATAGACGCGTTGCTACGAAACGCGAGGGTCACGTCTCAGCAAATCAGGCGAACCTCGTTTAACAAACGAATGTCGTCAAACAGACAAACCTCGTATGACAGACGAACCTCGTCGAACGAGCGAACATAGTCAAACAGGCGAACCTCATATGACATACGAACCTCGTCGATCGAGCGAACCTCGTCAAACAAGCGAACCTCGAATGACAGACGAACCTCGTCGAATGAACGAACATCGTCAAACAGACGAACCTCGTATGACAGATGAACCTCGTCGATCGAACAAACCTTGTCAAACTACGAGAACGCTAGGGTCACCCTCGTGCGAATACGTAGCTCGTCCGTATGTTGCGAAGCAGCCTGTGAGGTAACCTCTGTGGCGCCACCTCGCCCCGATGCCTCCGTGCAAAGTGCAAAGTGCGCCTAACAAAGCGCCACTTAGCGCCTCAGCCCGATTAGCCCCGATCCCCGGTCCATTAGCTCACGGCCCACTAGAACTTATGAGGGATTAATTCAAATAAAATACTTCTCGGCTTGCCGTTGGCAAGTCTCGAACAATGCACCTTTTGAAACACCAAAACATAAACTTTCCACTAGACTACTAAGCATTTATGAAAAGTACTTGTAGTTAATATATATATATAGTTTGAAAACTCGTTTTGGAAAGCAGTTTTAACCAAAAAAAATCCAACAGTTATAATCTAATCTAAACAACAGAAGATTGTGATTAAGAATGCATAATGCTTCACGGGTTAATTTTTAACCTGAAAATACGGAGATCCCCTCATTTCCCCATCAAATTAGCAAATTCAACCTCAGAATATCATTTCATACAACCACCATCACATCTACACGATACGCATTCCACATGCTTGAAATCAAACACATACACCAGAAAGAAACCTAATGACTACCCATAACAAACTCAGCAGTCAAAGGAGTAAACACATCCCCGCCCTCCTCCTCCAAAGCATCCACCAAATCCTTCCCCAAATGCGCATAAACCACCCAACTCCCGTCCCCTCTCGCACTCGGCATTGGCATAACATACCCAGCCCCACCTCGCCCACGGGAAGTGATACACCCCGAACACTGGCCCGCCCACCCGAAGTCCACCTCCCCCCCGGAACCCTCGTCCAGACGACACCAC